TAGTAGTCGGTTGAGGGGCTATGCTACAAACCAGAAGGTCACGGGTTCAAATCCTGATGAGGTCATGGGATTTTTTTCAATCGACCTAATCCTTCTGGCCGCACTATGGCCCTGGAGCTGATGCAGCCTCTAACAGAAATGAGTACCAGGATTTAATTACATAATTTTCCTGGGGAGTAAAGCGCGGCTGGCATGTAAGGCTGACAACCTTACTGCCATCTGTGAGCCGATTGTCTAGATAATGGGGGACCCTCAACGTCTCACAACCCTATGGGCCTTCACGGCCTGGTACAGGGATAGCTTTATATATGCTATATAATTACATCACAGATTGTCACATAATAAGAAGTGTAGTTTTAAATATTACACTTTTCCACATGTCATTGCCACCTGCTTCTCCTCTTCTTCTCATGTGAGCCATAAAATGTCGCACTTTCTTCTGGCTGTTTCTCTGCACCTCAACGTTTAGAGCCCGTCTGTTGTGATCGTCTTGCGCATAAGCCACCATTTCATCACGCAGGCATTGCACTGTACACTTATCTTAAACCGAACTCTACTAATTATAAATGCTTCACACTTATCCCCATCTTATATTTTAGATTAATGCTCTTTGGTCATTAGGGAAATACCGATGAAACACAATTTAAAAATATAAATAAAATAATAAATTAACACCATTCTCACATAAGAAAATTGTTCATACTAATCATTAAGGTTTGTTTCTATTCATACTTGACTGTTATGTAATTTTTTAAGCCTGACGATTTATATTATTTCTTCCCTCTGTGGTGAATGTTTGAATGTCACCCCAAATCCAACCCTGTATTTCAGCATGAATCAAGAATGTACCTTCACTGTCAGCCTACAGATAATCATAATTGTGGACTGTAAATGTGGTGTGAGCAGTTTTATCATGCTGTAGTATAGTCTTATCTGCTCTTTTTGGTCTTGTTTACGCCTGCATGAGCATGTGTGGAAATAAGTCTCGTGTTATGAATTAAAAAAGATACGTTTTAATTTGTTTTCAATTCTCACAATCTTGTGATGACGGTCCCCTTTGAAACCAACACCGTGCTGGTTTTCTCTGCCCCTTGTCTAGGTTCCACGATGAAGAACATGCCAACTTGCTAAACTCCATGTGGTTGATCGCTATTACCTTCCTGTGTGTAGGTTATGGGGATATAGTTCCCAACACTTACTGTGGACGAGGTATCACACTTACATGCGGCATGATGGTAAGTCATCAGCACCCCCACTCCCTCCCAAGCTCAAAATTCACTATTTCACTCTCACTCTTCATTTTCTTCACTAGCCGCTTCGTTCTCTAATGAAAATAACTAGTTTTAAAATGTTAGCATAACGCATCACAATATTTTGTCACCACCTACAAGTATCACTTTTATGCATTGTCTGTAAATTTGTTGCAATGAATGTTCTAATACACTGCAAGGTATAACTCTAAATTAGTAACAAGGGAGCACCTACTCAAAGAAGTTGGAAGAGTAACATCTGTATGGATAAACCACTGAGGTCGCGGTGCAAGGGCCGAGAAGGCCTACCCCTCATACATTCATCCAACATCTGTATGGTGTATGAAGAATCTGTTGTCTGCTTGCACTAATTTCCATAGTGCAAGTGTATCCGTGAGGTGTGATTTGATGAAGGAAGCAGTTATTGCTTGTTTTAAGTAATAGCGGAATTATTAAAAGGGATGACCAAACACAAACCAAAATTTGAAAATACAGTAGCTATTTCCCTCCCCCCTCCACCAAAAATATCAGCATAAATAATGCAAGTAAGTAATCCATACAGAAAAACTGAGACTGTTGTGTTGTGTGGGAAATCTTAAGTTCTATGCTGTACAGACTGAATTATAATAAGACTACTTAGCTTTCTTCATGAAAAATATTTGAAATTACCTAGGTTTTGAGTTTATGTTATGCACTCTTGTTTCATAATTTATTGTTAACTCTAGCAACAAAGCTTTACAAATGTTGCACAACAATGTTCCTGCAACATGTATATGTTACATCTCCAATAATATTAAATACCGTTTCAACTGCTATAAACCCAGAAAGGATTTGTGGTCTACAGACCAGTTATGATGCCTAACTGTATTAAAACGTCTGTGTTTTCCTTAGGGACCGGTAGATTTCATGATCCAACATAATCTTAAAATACTGGTCTGTTATCAAGTACCATTAGAAATATTTCTTGTAAGTTTTGAGGTTTTCACAACAGTCTTTATTCAAATTGTGGTGGTATTCTGTGTCACAGCAGCATATAATCCTGTGGTTAGATACCGCCATATTGGAGGAACGGTGTATCTTCTCTTAAATCTGTCCATATTTAACTCAACAGAATCCTTATTCCAGACACTTTAGCCCTGAAGGTTCAGGCGTGTTCCTCTGATACATTGGCATGTCCCACTAAGGGACAATACAAAGTCATAATGAAAAATATCACAGTTTGAAAGATATCTTAATTTAGTAATGACATGCCTCATTTAGTATTTAAAAGTCGTTATCATAGAAGAATTCTCAATTAAATTAAAGAAAATAGAGACCATTTTATGGCAATTTTATGAAATGTTTTAAAAATTAGTTTTAATGCTACAGAAAATCAAACTTAAATGACATCTTCAAAGCTAAATGAAAGAAACTCCTAACAGACCAATTAGTGCATTATCATACAAATTAATGTCACAGTACTAGGAAATATAGATACACATACATAGCTCCAAGATTTTTTCTTGTGATACTCTGTGGTTATATAAATTTAACTTTCCTCGAGTATAACGCATTTTAATTTTTAGAACATTACATTGCCTAACTTGTTTGGGCCTAGCTTGGCCATTTTCAAAAGGCTTTCCAACTTTATGAAAGGAAATTACTTCACATATTTTTACAGTCTAAGAATTTTCTTTGAAGTTGGATTGATAGTACAAGACAGCACAAAATATAGTAATTGAGTAGAAAAATCTTAGTGAAGTATTGGATAAAGTCTAGTGGCTTGAGTAGAGGCTTAATGTATATTGTTTTGAAATGAAGAAGAATGTAAGGATGGTTGCTGTTAGGTTGATAGAATAGAATCGTTTTTTTTTATATATATATTTCCACATGCTTGTAGATTATGTTCATCTGTCTGATGCTGTCTGTTTTGAAGGCTGATATATGTGTATTGCATTGTATATGTAGATGTAGACTGATAGTCAGTCTGCATAACAAACCAACCAACTTCTTATGCTCATGAATGTTGTAAATAACTATGTAAAGCAATTTCCTTTTATAAGGTTGGAAAATCACTAGAAGGTAACCAAGTTATGCAGAAATGTGTAAGGTAAATAAAGTTTTCAGCAGTTAAAAATTTGTTGAATTGGATGGAAGTTAATTTCATTGAATGATAAATTCATCAGTGAATAATATCTACCACTGAAATGTGTGAATGTATAAGTTAATTCTTTATTCTTGCTTTAGGAACATAGAATATTTTGCAAGTTTTTAAACTGGGTCAAATATGACTTATCCTTTTTGGTTATTTTTAAACCAATTTTATATTTTTCCCCCTGCACTTATTTCACTGCTCAGGTGTTGTGTATCCATATATATGTGTTATAATACATTATTTTACCCACATTATTCAAGGTGTCTCATATGGGTCTTTGATAAATGAAGTTTCTGCATAAACTACGATGCGATATCTGTAGAAAGATGTTGCAAACTTGTTACATTAACACCCTGTTCATTGCGAATGAACATTGTCATCGCACTGGTAGTGCTGTAGTGGAACATCTTAATATGTTGTAGAAATGAGATGCAATATTCAAATATGGATGAAGTACAGCAGGTGACAGTGACATGTATTTCTGCATTTAGATTCTAGGGGCAATTTGGTTTGAATAACAAAACGTAAATTGCATTCTGCCAAAGAATATACTATATTCTTACAGGTTTCAAGTAAACATATTTGTAAAAATAGAAAACACAAAATATACTTTTTATTTAACTGATCTGGAAAAATTGAGTTATCGTCAACAGATCACGAGTGTCTTTTCTAAAGCAGTAACTACTTGAAAATCTACTGAAGAAATGACAAATGTCATATCACATACAAACTTAGAACTGAAATTGAATGAGACTCATTTGTACTATAACGTCTTCAGTGAAATGGCACCACTGAAATTATTTTTGTGCGTTAGGTATCAATATACCATTCCTTATTATTTGAATATACCAACTAGATGGCAGGACAAAATGTGAACTTACAGCCCTTGAAACTTTCTTCTCAAATCACCACATAACACCTGTCCATCTTAAAACAATTTCACTCCTCAGTAAGGTCAGTTATTTCACACTAGGTAAAACTATTCAATTTTGTGACATACATTATTTCATGGTATGACAGTCTACATTCTTCACCAAATTAAGTATGAGTTTAACGATTAATTTTAATAGTTCACCAGTGATGGCTCCATAGTGAATCCATCTGTATAAAAAACTCGTAATATTATCCATGGTACATGTACCTAAATTCATCATGAATTAGAGTTTCATTCAATAAAATTATGTTGTTATGAAACTGTATGTTTACCTTGTATAGATATTACATTTTCAGAGGCGATTTAATTTTTAAAGGGTTCTTGGCCAGCCTTCAGTGCAAGGCCTCAGGACACTAAAAATGTGATGAGATGTGAGTGTGTGTTAGACCTTTTTTTATGTATTATAATCGATGAAGACAGAGCGAAAAAACACATTTCTCTTGCACCTAAAATCCATAGTGGTCCTCTACTCTGCTAGGCAAGTTGGGTGCCCACCACTCACGAGGCCCCAAAAGCCACCCTAGGCCATGGTCTACTTCTCCTATGACTTAATATTCCCCTGTATATTTTATTTATTCGATGACGTGATATATGCGGAACGTAACTCAAACATAAGCGGACACACCGAAGGCCCATGGCTGTGCTTCATAGTAGGGTTTTGTGATTCTTCTTCCCCCACCAGGTTTCACGACGAAGAACATGCCAACCTACTAAATGCAATGTGGCTTATAGCCATCACATTCCTGAGTGTGGGTTTTGGTGATATTGTGCCTAACACTTACTGCGGACGAGGTATTGCAGTCACGACAGGCATCATGGTAAGTTGGCGCACACATAAGGTTTCTGGAGTTAAAGCCAACCTTTAAAATGTTTAATTTGTGTGACTATATGCTAAATTGCTATTTTCTATAAAGTTCATTTTTGAGATGTAATACATCTCCCATTTTAATAAAGAGATAAATAGTAAATATACAATAATTTACTTTGATACATGTTGATAATGAATACTATTTAATTTCATTTTTAATATGATAGTATTGAATATTATATAATAAAAAATCACAGTAATCTCTCAAGTCTATAATGTTAAAAATAAAGGTTTAAAAATGGGTTCTTCAGAAACCAAAATAGCTGTAGCATTTCTCTGAGCAAATCTGAATGAGATTTATCTGTATATATTTCATAAAGTTTGCCACTTTCTGACTTCAGACCTTTAGAGCACAGTTTTAACTATGTGTACCATCTGTTTAATATTAAGAGCTTTGAATTTTGCCCATACAGCATATTTGTTTTCCGCACAACTGCCGGAATAAGCAGAATAATAAATTACACTTTCACAATAATAATTTTAAAAAAGTTCAAGTGTTGAATCTTCAGAAACCAAGATAGCTCTATCACTTCCCCGAAAATGTTTTAATCTGTAAATCTTATCATTTGTGACTTACGCAAATACGCAAAGCACAGTTGTACCTACCTGTACCACCTGATTTAACATGAAAGAAGCTCTTAATTTTGCTCACAATATGCATCTGTGTCTTTCAGGACAAATGACAGTTATCTCCTTAAATGATATTAACCATTTCATCCTTATAATGGAAACGCAGTACATTTTGTTTTATATGTGGACTGAATTTTTTATTATTTACATTAAATTCGTAGTCAGAATTGTTAAACAGCATATTCTGAAGCCCTTCTTCAACTCCTTCAACCCCTTCAAATCCAGAAGGCACATTCATGTGGGTCAGTCTGTATATGTAGAAGGAAAGAAAGGTGAAAAAGAAAGAAAAGAGGAAATAAGAATAAGAAGTAAGAAGAGAAAGAGAAGAAGAAAAATAAAATTGTGAAGAATATTGTTCTCTGGGATATCTCTCCGTGTAATCTGGCAGAATGTTGTCAAAGTTTTGGAAGCTACGTCCATAGACTTCTACCAGACTACAAGGTGCCACATTGAAGAAAATAGTACTCATCATGGTCAGTGTCACGAGAATATAAAATTTCAAGCTTTCTTTATATTTTTACCCATTTCTACTCGTGCATTCTTCAGAACAGTATCACTCCACAATAGTTTCTTGCTGATGGCTAGGTGTAATATGGGTAATGAATTTATAACTCTCAAAGTACACTACATAAAGGCTCCTGATACAGATGATCTAAACTTACAGGTCAGATTCAGTATTTCAGAGAACTTTTCTTTTCTGCAATTCTGCGAACTATATCATGGCTGAATGACAAAGTTTTACTTGAATGGTAGTAAACAAAAGACAATGAATACCTCATAAAGCCAGTATGTAGGATTTTATGAATATTATTTCACAGTAAACTGCTCAAAATGACTTTGACTCTGAAGAAACAGAAGATATCTCCAAAGCATCAAATTACCGTTTTGATATGGAACTCTAAAGTGTGCAATGAATATGACCTACCATGGAAATGTTACAACTAACAATAACAAGCCTCATGTTTGATTTGTTTCATTCTGGTCCCTCTCACTAAGAACATTATAAAAAGATGAATTGAAATAAGAAAAAAAAATTCTTCACTAGTCGCACTGGACGGAACTGTTTCATCTTCTTATAATATTGTATTATTATTATTATATTTATTTCAATTCTTCATGAAGAATTGAAATAAGAAAAAAATCTTCACCAGTCACACTGAATGGAACTGTTTTATCTTTTTATAATAATTTTCATGTTGTTGGCACGGGCTGCCTTGTCTCTCCATGCATATGTGAACAGCATTCGGCAAGACGAAGATACTAGTTTTCGCTTAATTTGCTGCATGTGTCACAACTGATTAATGTCCACACTCCTCTCTGTGCCAAGTCTAAATGGTGTCCTACAGTGAAGAAGAATTCTAATCCAATGTTTCTCAATCTTTCGGATGCTTCCCACTGGTGTGACTTGACTGTCAGCTAGGTGGTACTTGAATTCTCAAAAATAGGTTCCTCTATTAATGATAAATATAATGTCAGAATGTACATAACTGTAAATACATTTTGGAAAAGGATAAAATATTTTACTGTAGTGTTACCATTGTTTCTTTGATCAATTAGGGAATGGGACACAAAATGAAAAACGTTAAGAGCATTGATCTATGGAAAACAGAGGCAGACAGTTAAAATTGAACTATCTGCATTAATTTCATTCAAAATACACAGCTAACAAATTCAGATTTTATCAAAGTTTTACTGAGTGTTTCATTTGTCCATTGCATCGCATTATGACCCATATTTTTTCCCAAAAATAAGATTAATTTACTTGAATTGGAAATGATTATTCACTAGATTGCACTGGTAGCATTATTTAAGAACCCACCCTCATTATTTGTCCAGTAAAAATTTAGATAAATATGGTGTCATAATTCTCTGGATTTGACCCTCTGACCTTTTTTACCCTAATCTACTTTTGACAGGATCCTTCATATATATACTTCCTCAATTATATTTTGTGCCCTACAAGGAAAAGGTAAATATACCCTATTATCATAAACTCTTAAGGATGGCACCATGATGTGTGGGGGAGTGGAGGTATAGCTACATGCATTCTTAATCTGGGCTCTAGACAGAGATGATCAGTCAGCTTCACATTTTTTCCGCTTTACATCTGGAGAGCCCACGGCACCCATTGGATAGGAAGCCTTAGGAGTCCAGAGCTCAATTAGACTTGGGAACGAAGAGAAAAATCTGCTTCTACCAAGAATGGAACCCCAATTATCTAGTCTACAATCAGGCATTGCAGTGATTAAGCTATCCAATATAATGTCAGATATTACCATTATTGTGTGAAATATGCACTGTAACTAAAAAAATATTGTTGTTAAAAATATAAAACATTTATCAACCGTTGTTTGAAGAAGCATTTAATATAAGAAGAATAACAAACACACTCCCGTTTACTTGTTGATCTGTCATTAAAGTAGTGTAATTGAGAATGCAACGGGAAGGCATGTCATTTTTTACATGAGCGTTCAAACTGTTAACTTCCTCTTCTTCCTCCCATACCCATTTTCAGTTCTGCAATGTTACTGAACGATGGGTCACAATGAACGTTTAACACCATCTCTCTTGAATAATACATACTAATACTCTATCATAAATCCTGTCCTTTTTTTGGTATGCTGCACTTCATATACCCATATTAAATAACATAAATTCTAACAAAACAGGCACAGTACATCAAAATAAAAGACTGCTTGCTCGTTTGTGACCTGCGACATAACTTAGGTTCATGCAGTGTGTCGGTGCTCGACAGTTCATTCCTATGGCAACCCAAAGTTACATGCAGGCAAAGATAGATCTACAGTTTACAAAACATTGTATGCTTATATGTAAGAATTATTAGTTTCACAGTCAGGTAAAATCGGTTATATGGATACACTAGCTGCTTCAGTCTAAATAGCGAACAACAATAATGATATTAAGATACTAACAATAATACCTTAAATAAGACCAGGGTATGCCCATAGTAATTTCAGCAGCAGAACTATTAACAAAGGGTTAAAAACGAAAATCAAACACTGGAGTGTGTACCAAATTTTTCAAGGGATATATTGGTAAGAAGATCATAAGTCATATACATATATTGTGAAGCGTGCTCGTCCATACTGGAATAGTGGTGATGCTGTAGACATGTATAATTTGGATGCGATTGCTTCAAATTTCAGCCAGGACACTGGCTATCCTGATTGAGGTGTTTTGTGATTTTACTCAGTCCTTCCAGGCATATGTCATGATAGTATCTCAATTAAACTGTGACTGCTTCATTCTCGATCATTTCCAGATTATTATTCATCAATCATCTTTTGACAATGCATAATCTAGATGCTGGAAATATCATAAAACAATCCTACAAGATTATGAAGAGAATAATGTGACTAAAGACCAGTGTACCAATTATACATTATTTCTGCATTGAGATCCGTGTATGGTCATTGTGACTTTCATTTTGTAAGGACCAGACTCAAAAGAGAAATAATGTGTAAATACTTGTGGGAACATCCCACATTATCACGCATTTCTGCAGCGCTCGCTCTTCACATCGCTTTTCGCCATCACGCGCGCTAACCAACCAGATTGCTTTAAACGTTCATATTTATACTGGGATCGCTCCTGGCCCGCATCTACGTCATAACGCGCGCTAGCCAATCAATTCTTCCTCCTCACTGTTGAGTTTGGCTCCGCCCCACCGACCGGCGTATAAAAGGGAGCGACTCCAGAACCGAGTTATGCAGTTCTATTCAGTTCAATTCAGTACATCACCAGTCTACAAGCTAGCCACATCAAGCAACTTCAGCCAGCAGGATTCGTTGCCAGCGCTCGGTCTTCGGAAACATCGGCAGGCTGCGCCAGGCACGACTGCCTCGGCCCTCCAGCGCTCTCACACCCGACTCACTGGGGCACCGCGCCTGGACTCGCCGGTGGTCGTGTTACGGTCCGACCCACTGGGCTTCTGGCGTAGCCACTGCCTCATGGCTCCCACGACCGCGCTCAACGACTTGCCTTTTCACTAGCCATTCACCGTAACTAGCCTTTCTCCTTACCGGCGCGCCGCGCTACCTCACCGATCAATCATCTCAGCAACAGCAGCCACGGTCCTTTTCAGGGCCAACAAATTGCTCCGAAGATGTGGGTTGTCATCGGAGTAATGACAAGACTACACACGTTGACAAGAGTGCCCCACATACTGTTCTGATAAAACTTCCTTCCACCTTCAGTGGATAAAGTTTTGGAGGGAATCTCCATCTCAGGTCCAGAAGATAGAGGCAGTATTTTTGTCTGAAACACTGGTACCTACCTATCTGACTACACAGTGTCATGTTCCCGAAACATACAGTCTGAATTGTTTCATGGTGTCAAGAAAGCTTGGCTTCCCCTAATGCGAGTATAAAGTGTAGAAATATCTCATTTTTAAGCTTCAGGACAGACTATCAATAAGTCATTATTGATAACGCTTATATCAAATTATTAATTTATTTATTTTTCATTCATGTATAAATAATGTAGGAAAGTAAAATGAAAGATACAATATTTATATTGAAGTCTTAAAATTGGTTATGATTACAAAGATCAAATTCTGTTAGCTTCTAATTTAATCAGATGTATGTTTTTGCTATTGTGATGGAAAATCTTAGGTTCTTAACAAAACATCGAAATTTTTGACAATATTTTATATGCACTGGATATTTAAGAGAATTCATTTTGAAAAATTAGTTTAAAGAATTGAGGACTGTAAAGTTCTTCACTAATTAAAACACACACTCAGAAAAATCATTTCTTTTTCAGCCAGTTCTTATAACTGAGAAACTTAGGGACTGTGTCCTCAGCAACAAATGGATTTATTCTACATGCATACATCAATATAGTATTAGAATGTAAAGATATCATTGTTTCAAGAGAGCACTGGTGATTTTATATCTCTTGAAGTGTACAATCTTCTAGGTTTTAATGACATGGAATTCGGAGAAAGCTTTAGATTTCGGAGGAACATGTTATCTCCATCTTCAGAGTGTAAAAGTAAGCCATGCAAGAAACCAACAGAAGCAGGCGACAATCTAAGGGGAACATGGATGAAAAATCCAGCCTGATGTAGCTCAATTCAAGCCTGAAGAGAACTGTGAAAGAGCCTAGCAGAGGAAGACAGTTGTCTGTAAGGGGACTCAGAATCAGTGGGAACAAAGGAAATGTTACCTCAGTTGATTCCTCAACATATAAGTAGGTTCCTCTGAACTTGCCACCTGCTTCTTCTGGTTTTTTGTGTGGCTTATTCGTTGATCCAGAAAATTGAGGTTGTATGTTTCTCTGAAATGTAAAGCTGTCTCTGACCTACATGGTGTTATATCAGAAGACTGTAAAGTTCATAGTCAGAACCTCAATTCCATCAAGGATGCATTTTGTTTTGCAGGGTGCTGGGTGCACCGCATTGCTGGTTGCCGTGGTGTCTCGTAAACTGGAGCTTACGAGAGCAGAAAAACATGTACATAATTTCATGATGGACACCCAGTTAACAAAAAGGGTAATTTATTTTAAAATAGTGTTATTAAATACCATATATTAGATTTAATATGTGAATAAATAATTTATATTATATGAGTATTTTCCAGTATCACAGGTGATACCTGAGATATTTTGGAAGTAAGACACAATGGAATAATGTTAGCTAAAGAGTAGTAACAAATTTCAAAAAGTGCAGTTGTTAAACATGTGTGAAATTTCTAAAATTAGAAGGAATAATGCATATAATGTCTGACAATTAAGTAACTAAACCAATGATCTTGTGCAGCAAATGGCAACACTAGTGAATTGGTGCATACTAGATCACATAACTACATGATTAATTTGTTTTGTATCAATCATGCATGTGTATATATGTATACATGCATACAGGATGTTTCACTACTTTAGGGCATAACTGCAGGAGGAGATTTCCTAGGTCTTTGTGATCAAAAAAGTTCACATAAACATGTGTCCAATTTTGGATGGTTACGGAGTTATGACCGTTTTAAACTTGGAATAGAAGGTAACGACTACTGACAATAAACAGAACAAAATAATAAACCAGCATAATACATGATACATTTAAAGTATGAATGTAAAGTTTACTTCGTGAAATTTGAATTTATTGGTGCTTAAAGCTGATTTTCGAAAATGCCACCGCCGGCCGCAACACAGGCTGCCGCTCGTTTGTGAACCGCGCCGGACATACCAACCCTCCCCGCCTTAGGTACATCTCAAGTGTCGAGATAATGAGAGCGCTCGGTCTGTAGCTGGCTAAAAATAGCGACCCGTCAGCTGACAGACGTGGTTCACACGAGGGCGTGTATGGGAATGAAAAAACGGTCATAACTCCATAACCATCCAAAATCGGACACATGTTTATATGAACATTTTTGATCACAAAGACCTCCAGCAGTTATGCCCTAAAGTCGTGAAACAGCCTGTATATGTAGGTATGTATTATGTGCATATAAACAGTATTACTGTTTAGAGGTGTACTTGGGCATAGGGACAACTTCAAATTTGTGTTTTATATTAAGGAAATTAAAATTTTATTACAATTCCAGCTCACAGAATAAGAATCTGCAAGTAGTCAGTACACAAGTTATTGAGATAAGTCTAAGAAAATGTGCATTTATTTAAGCCTTGATGGATGTGCTAACTATAGTGTCCTTATCCACAGCTAAAGAATGCAGCAGCCAATGTACTGCGTGAGACATGGCTCATCTACAAACATACACGCCTAGTGAAGCGTGTGAATCCTGGCCGGGTACGCACCCACCAACGCAAGTTCCTCCTCGCCATCTATGCGTAAGTCATTAACTTTTTCTCTAGGAAGAGAAATAAATTATACCTTTTCTAAATTTCATGCTGATTCTTAGAAATGTCAGTGGACATTTTAAATCCTACTTAAGATATATATGAACCAAATCAAACTACATAATTTGGTATTTTTTCAGCTTGCGCAAAGTCAAAATGGACCAGCGAAAATTAATGGATAATGCAAATACTATCACTGACATGGCAAAGGTAAAAGTACATTATATTAATATAAAGTATATTTTAAATTTGAGTAGACAGGCTATAGCATTTCTCTCATGTTCTGTCAGAAGATGCAAAAGATACATGGTTCAATAATCTAAACAAATATTTGTGCCAGAAATATTGTTCTGCTTCATTCAGAACTGAACAACATTGGATCCTGACTAAATGCAAGGAATAAGAAATATGTTAAGGCATAGGCAGATCATTTTTACTGAGACAGTGTATCTGATATGCCATATTTTTAATAAGCAAGACTCCTGATTAACTTCAGACCATTACATCTTATTTACAGACACAGAATACAGTCTACGAGATTGTCTCAGATATGAGCAATCGCCAGGATGCTCTAGAAGAACGTTTATCAAGCCTGGAAGACAAACTGATAGCCATACAGGAGCAAGTAGAGCTCTTGCCAGATGTGCTAACAAGGTGCCTGACCCAGCATGCTGAGCGCATGGACCAGAGACGGAACTTCCTGCATCCTGAATCAGCGGCCTCGCTCCAGCCAGTACCATTAACACCAGCCCCAACACTCCATCATCCACTGCTCAGCTCCGCTCCGGGTGCCTCCACAAGTCCACTTCTCATTCCCCACTCACGAAGTGTGCCCAACCCCTGGCCCCCTAGCCCCATATTACCACCAATCAGTAGCAGAACACCGCATTTGGTCCCTGAGCCTATGAGACCCTCCTCCAACAGCACTGCTACCACTACCACTACCACTACAACCACATCATCATCATCATCTAGCTGAAAAACAGAAACTACTCGGCCTTATGACTGTCCTCTGTTGGTATAAATGTGGCATTACTGTAACCAATAGGTGTGTATGTAGGAAAAAGTGAGATACTGTAATGTTATCTTTGTTTGTGCTTTGTACAGCAGTCAGTAATCACTCCAAATAAACGTACAATTCCAACATCATAGCTGGTCAATGTTGGACATGTTTACGTACAGAAAAAGGGTGGGAAAATTTCAGAATGTCATAAAGCAGTTGTTCTTATTTTTACTGACCCAGAGACTACAGCTGTAAACAGCATTATCAACCTACATTATTATCTCTCATTGTGTCCTCATGTGCCTAATTCTTCATGAGCATCAAATGTCTTTTAATTGTTTATATATACTGAGACTTTATTTCCTTGTTCTAATTTTAAATTCTTTCAGCTTAAATTTTAAATGTAAAACAAACACAGATCACATATTTCGTCATTCCCACTTTTCTCATATTTTCTCAGGAGAGAAATATTAAGCTACTATATACCGATGAGCTTAAAATTGTGGACAAAATTTTAAATTTTCACCTTTCCAGTAGCTTTTTTAATAGATCTAATTGTACTGCCAATTCAAAATATGAGACCGCCTGTTACACTTAATGCTAGAAAAGAAGAGAAACATTTATTCCTTGATTTACTGAGCTTTCATCAATATGGCACAATAATTTGTGTTGAAATGTGTAGCTCTTTCCTATCCATTCCAAGTTTCTGTATTATTATGAGTGATTTGTATAAGGATATATAGTGTTATTTTTGGTACTGTGCTTTAAACGTGACTTCATAACACAATATCAACATCTATACCAGATTAACAGCTAGTCTAGTGTATTTCCGAATTACTCCAAGACATATATGACAACTTTATTTGAATGGGTTATATTATGGTATAGTCCCAAAAATAAAATGTCAGAGTGGTCTCTGATATTCCACCTCAAATTAACAGGCCAAGCTGTAAGTTCTTGTATTTTCATTGTATGTAAAATTTTAATAAAAATGTGTTTAAAATTCTCCTTTCAAGTATCTCCATGAAGATAATATTAAATTATTGAAGCAAAATTGTCATTTTTAAAGAAGATAAATAAGAACAAAGTTTTTAGTCGTTTCTATTAAACCCTGCATATGTTTGACATCATCATCTTTACAAGAAATGCCAAGGCATTGCCCTGGAACACAACAAAGCACTGGGGCACCACACTGGACTGCCTTACTTCTAATAGAGTTTGATGATAGTCCACGAGACTATCAGATGTTAGGAAGTTTTAGCCTTGAGTGAATACTACCCTTCAGCCTTGCATTATCTCTCAATTGAAACAAAATTTCAGAAAGGAAGTTGGTGCATTCTGTGTATCTCACCTGTTCTTTATTTGTACATCTGGATATTTCATTTTATAATTACAATTTCTTAGAGCATTATAGAAAAGTTTGAATTACTTCTTTCTTCATATCCAGCACAGGATGTCCCATGATGTATTTTGTAGTGCAGTCAGTATAGTAACTGGCTATGGGTTGGATGTCTGAGGGGTTGGAGTTCAAGTACTGATAAGGAAAAGAATTTTCTGTTCTCCATGTTGTCCAGACCAATTCTTGGGCCCACCCAGCCTTTTATGCAAGGTACAGGGACCTGTTTACCCAGGGGTTAAGCAGCTGGCACATAAAGCTGACCAATCATCTTCAGCTAGTGCCAAGGTCAAGAAAATCTGGATGTATACATCCACTCCCCCATACCCCTTTATGGCATAGTGCTTAATTAGTTAAGCACAGGTATTTTACCACCATACAGACAGCAGACTCAATTGAAGACACAATATCTTCCAGGCTAACAGACAATATAAGAGAATTTTGCATTATGCCTACAATGGAAAACTTATTTAACTGCTCAGTTTGCAGTGAAGAGTAATAATTTCGTTATAAACCTAAAATATGTTACATGTACAGTGTATACAGGGCTGATATTTATATAGAAATGTGGTCTGTTTTCATTCAAATAATATAATATTATATAACTAAAAAATAATTTAACTATGATTATGTACATAAGCAATTATTTATTTGAATTAATTTATATAAAGCTATACTTAAAAATATTTCTTACTGGGTATATGAGTACGAACTGATTTATTCTGGCACAAGACTAAGAAGAGTGACAGATCTTGTGAATGTAGTAATGAACCTTTTGGTTCTATAAAAGGCTGGTAATTCCTTGCCTAAGTGAAGGACTATTATTAGCATGTCAAGAATGACTGTGCTCCTTGAGTTAGCCATAACGTTGAGCTGGAAATTTTCCTTAAAACTTTCCATTGGACATGCCATTTGTACTTAACCCTTTGCCATATTATTTAAATACACATTATATGAACCCTCTATGCTCAATTCATTAAAATTCCCTGTGTACATTATGCCCGAATATGTTAAGTGTGGCAGGAAACATTGGGGGGGGGGACATTCTGCTGGGCATGGCAAAGGGTTAAATATTTCTACTGTGCTATTTCTGTAAGAAGTAACTCATAAGAAGTGATCAAAAGTGCAGCAAAACTGTATGAGATGCCCATGTTTATGTCTGTAGTGTTTGATTGAAGTAGGCCTAATATAAAATTCTGTATAAATCATTCCACTTCTTCATTTCATCCAATTTCAATACTAATCATATGTTTATACAGATATTTAGAGTTCTTTTGCTTTTTTTGTAAGATTATCATGTGTCAAAAGTAAAGAAGAGCCACATTCATACCTAAAGGACAAACATAACACCATGTGTTTCTGGGTTAGGCTCAGCTGCACTAAACTCAGTCTTTCAACCAAATTCGTGGAGAGTGCCGTCCAGCTTTCAACCACGACCAGGATAATGGCCGCCGGATTGCAACACTTCCTCCTGTTGTATGCCTTTTTCTGATACTGCATGAAGACATTTTTTGTCGTGGAGTAAAGTGGAAGTGTCTAATGAATGAATGTTTAATATAGAGTATACAAAGAAAGACAGATAAAACAGAAGATTTACATTCTGTGTGAATTACAAATGTACATTATAATGAAAGCCCTCAGAAACCTCCCGAACATATTTCAATTGTTCACACTCATTACAACAAGTTATGTTAACAGCAAGAAAGTGATAAAATTCCTGCCCTAATATTCTCAAAACTTTGGCACAAAATACTGGGCCAATTACATTAACTCCAACATGGAAACTCCATGTCTGTGTACTTATATACATAGCAACTCCATTGCCCCTTACCAATGAAAACAAATGAAGAGACAAATCCTGGATGTGAAAACTATTTTTGCACCAACTCAGATTGTCTGATAATTTGACGTACTTTAAAGTAAAGGTATAAACAGCATAGTGATAATTTGAAATCTGTTGTGAAAGTACATTTCTTCTTGTGATAGTTAAAAGTATGACAGAGGGGTACATTTACAAAGTGATTTCATGGATATCAAAGGACATCAACATCGCTAGTGGGTGTACCCCTGATGGCCTTAGAACTAAAAGTAACTTGTTTCACACAATGGCATATGAACAGCATTCTTAGTATAAACATAACAATGAAGAATATAGAAAAGGGACTCAACGATGGAATTTTACTATTGAGACTGCTATAAAAAAGTGATACTTAAAAGAATAATAATTATTACTATTATTATGATTATATTATTATTGTTATTCTTGCGAAGCTTTTTCTTTGTATTGACTTCATTCTTTGTTTAAGACCATGGTTTCTTAATGAGCCAATCTATAAGTTATGTACATATAGAAGGTATGTTATTGAAATGGAAATTAATTTAATTTCATGTTCATGACATATGTGGATACTGACTTTATGTGTATCATTTTATTGTTATTTGTGCCTGTGATTATAGGACAGTTGTGTCTGATTTTGAATATAGGGAATTTAAGTTTCTATTGTCTGTTGTGACCCATTACCATGCCAGACATCTAGATGTAGTAAGAGGCCAAACAACTGCACCATGACCCTTCCTTGTCGATTTTTAACAAGTAAAATTAGTCTGGATAGTAATTTGAATATATTAGCTGGGCCATGCAATTTATCATTTAAGGTAGGATTCATCCATTTGATCGAGTGAGTGGTTTAAAGAATTAAATTTACTGTATTGTAAACGATATCAAGAAAGTGGCACCACATATTCAGCCATCTTACAGAGAGGCAAAAATTATGTGATCGATCCATTTTTAAAATTAATAATATCAGAATTGTTTTAAAAAGAACTGTATTCTTTGAATGGAGGAACAGCTTACAGAGTAGTGTTTTTATTCTGGGGGGAGCAGTTCCTGCAGTAAGAAAGGAACTAAGCAGAATGTTTCTTGAAAAGCTGATAGGCACTCAAGCAGTCAAAATATTCCCTATCCTGAAACTGATATTTCAATCTTTACCTTCATACCAAATTGTTGTTAGGTTCATTTTAATATTATCCTCCAGTCCACTTCAGTTTCTCATAGGTGACAGCTTTCCTTCAAGGTTTATTAACTAAAATTTTGTATGCATGTAACATATCCCCATATCTACCCCATCACATCCCCCTTGATTTCATCACCTTAATAATATTTGGTGGAGTAAAACCTATTGATATTAGCTTCGTTTAATTTTTTGCATACTTTGAAGTCAGACTTTTGATGTAGACCACATCACTACGGTACAAGACCCCAGAATTTTAGAAATTAAAGAACTCATATAAGTTTCAATCACACACAGTACTGCACCATAATACAAATACAATTCATAGATTCAACTTTCTTAAAAATAATCTTCTACTAATTCATATGACACCACAAATATGTTTCATAAACTGATAATATGATTTCAATTTATGGACCAAATTTACTAGAAAGCCCATTACTGTGGATTGTCCTCCATTCTTCTGTTATTTCCTCTCCCTTGGGTCCAAATACTCTCCTCAACATTTTGTTCAGAACCATCCTTGATCTGTGGTCTTCCCCTGGGGGGGAGAGGCCAAGTTTTATAACCATAATAATACAAGAAGTAGAAGAATAGGTGTTTAGATTTTAACGTTTATTTTTTTAGACAGGAGACTGAAATATGAGAGATACTGAACTGAACAGTGAGAAGGACTCTTTGAATTCAATCTTCTCTTAACTTTCTAGTCAGTGTCATTTTGATTTGTCATTGTTATTGCCAGATATCTGAGCTTAAAAGGAAATGGCCTTATAATTCTGTTATGCAACAAATGATATTACTCAATAATTTCAGGTTCATCATATATGTACTTATACAATACAGAAGGACTTGATCTCAAAATATGTTAATTATTCTGATTGCCATGACCAATAGAACGTTGCATCTTCTAAGAAACTTAATAGGAAATAGGCTTCCTACGCATTCTGTGATTGGTTGATGGGTTTAGAGTGAACACAGTTGTACTGGTCAGTTGCTATTTCCACCACATTATATAAATTTGTGATGCCAGTGGAATTTCTCAACTACTGATGCAATGTTTATTCAGTTTAGTTACAAGAGCCTTTTTTTATAAAGCATGGAGTTGAGATCTGATTATAGTAAGTGAGGTTTTGAGAGAGGCATCTTACCCCTCAGTGATTCACCAAATATTTTTTAAACAACAAGCAGTGACTTTATAAAAAAACACTGATAGACTTGTTCATCTGAACGAACATGAATGTATCTGGACGATACTAAAATGACTGTACAATCTTGATATAGCATGTTCATTTTTAAACCTATAAAATAGCCATTCTTTGAGAATAAACCATTTAAAATTAAAAATAATCTTCTTTTTTTGGCGACCTGAAATATCAAATTTGGATTAATTTTGTACTACTTAGCTTGTACATGGCATTCATATAATGCAATATGTGTTACTACAGCCACTGTCCCTTATTCATTTTGTAAGGGGAACAGTATGGAGGAAAGTCCTCTGCTTAAATATTTTTGGAATCCAAGTTTGCACACCAAGAGTTTTCTCCCCTCTTGTTTTGAAACACATTTAAAATAACTTTGTCACCTTCACCATTCAAGAAGTTGGACTCATAATATACCAAAAATAAATCTGTATCCCCTAGACTGACTTCTGACAACTTTGTTAAACTATAAATGTTGTGCAGTGGTGGTTATGAGATCCAAAGTTCATAGGAAGGTATTAAAATTATAGCTATATCATTAGTTTCTTCCTTTCAAGAATTACTTTCACTCTGTAATCTTTGATTTACTTCCCAACAGCACATGATGTCCAAAAATGATCAAAGGACTTTCTATATGAAAATGGGTAGTGAAAATAAATGATTTGCTTTATAGATTGGCTCTGATCTGTCTGTTATAAACTTGAAATCTGAAATTTCACAAGTATTCCTCTAACATCCAATAAACAAATCTTCCATAAAATCTTGGCTGCCAGGACATTACTGCAAAAAAGTTTGACTCTTGGCATTTTATCATAGATAAGAAATTTAAAAGAATCTAGTGTCTTTCAAGATAACTCCAACTCATCATTTTGACATTCTAGAAAATGTCCCATATAGTAACACTGAAGCATAAAAACACATGTCTAAGAGTGATATGTTCCAAAGAAAGTTAACCTAGTCCTTTGAAATAATTTCTTGTTTTTGTTCTTTCTGGAATTTGTTACCATTTACTCTTGTCCATAACTAATAATCAACCAAATATCAACCACTTATTCCTAGTCCATAAAATGAACATGTATATCACATTTAAATCTTTGTATATACTATGGGAACATAAGTGATCCATTTTTTCATATGAATTGAATTGAATATTTATCTGGTACTATTTTAATCTCTGGCCAGTGTGAAACTAAAATTTGAAGAATGGAAATTTTGTATGTTCATACAAAAATTAATGTGATTTTCCAACTGAATTGTTGAACAATTTAAAAATGAGACATTTTCAGAATGCTTTATTGTGCATGTATTTTAAACTATAATAATATCAATACTTTATCATTAATTACTACTGGCTACTAATTATACTGGAGTCTGATTCCCAATACTTTCTCAGATGTACCATATATATCACCTCTGAATGGAAATTCGAAGGTGCCATCACATAGTTACAACAAATAATTATAGCCTACATTACAACAAAAGACCAAAATCTAAATATTTAGTCTACAACAAACCCAGATATATATATATAAAACATTATTATATTTATACTATATATTACTACAATTTATGCAGTAATGTTAAAAATTACCTATACATAATAACAGTGGGTTTGTATATAAGAGTATATATATATATAGTTATGTAAATATACTGTTACGTAGTTTGTATGGCAGACTTGCATATCAGAAGTTTTACTGAAGTGACAACAACCTAGGACGAGTACAACTCTAGATTTTACAGTTAATTAAGATTATGTGTAATGATTCCAGTCTCAAATTATTATTGTTCATTTGGTTTATGCTTGGACCAAGAGCAATGTGTTTATAAGTTGGCAGTGCTGTTTCTTGTGGCAAAGTATTGGAATGTACATGAGAGAAAGGTTCAGAAGGTGTATGAATTTGCTACCAGAAAGTTTTAATGACAGAGATTAACTAAAGCTTATACATAAAGCTGATTACCAGAATCCATGAATCCTTTTATTTTCATTGTAAGATTATTATAATGTCAGTGGTGTCAATTAAAATACTTTCACTTTATAAATTTACTAATATGTCAATGCAATTGTTACCCAGCAGTCATCAGTAAAAGCCCTGAAAAAATTGATAACTTTTTCTGGACTGTATCCAGCAATGACTAAACATAAAGGAGCACAAAAATTTACTGAACATATGTACGATTATGTAGGATTGTGATATTCATAATTGATACTGCCTTCTCACTGCCACTTTCCATCACTGATTGTATACTAAAATATTTGTCTGTCATCAGTATCTTGAAGGCTAGCCATAATTTCAGTCTTGAATATTTTCTTTTCAGTACTGTTACGTTAGAAGTTGCATTATAAAGTAAAAGTTAGATTTTGATGAACAGTAAATAAGTGATTTATATAGTAATAAGATTAATATAATGTCAAAGTAAATCCATAATATAGAAACACATGTGTAGCTACTGCTCGTATAAAGATTAGTACACAATGTGTTTATTTTGCCAGAAGTTATAGCACAGGGCTGTTCATCTTCAAATCACTGAATTATCTGAACCCTAGATATAGAGACTGAAACAGAATTAGTTGGCAATCTTTACTTCCAGTCTTAGCAGACCCTGACTGTTCAGTCTCACAACTGAAGCTTATCATACGATGCACTCACTGAGTTCTTAGAACAACAGAACCATTGCATAGAGAGCAACGGTTTTGTTTGCGGTAACTTGTTCTGCCTGGATAGAAGTCCCTAAAGTAAGGTCAAAGGGTCATTGGGCCTAATCCATATATTGCAATGTATAGTTGTTGTCAGAAGTTTGTAGAACTTTTCAGAGCTAAATATAAAATCACACTGAAGTGCAGATGTGAAAATACTGAAATATTTCTGAAGGAAATGTGAACTGAGTACAGGTATACCCACCATCTATTTCAAAACTCTGAATGCAGATAAACAGATTAATTTTTAACAATTAAATTTTTCACAAATTGTCAATGAATAATCCAATTCAAATTAAATTTTTATTTGGAGTTTATAGCTTTAAAAACGGAAAAATACAATTCATTTTCTGAAACACTGCATTTCAGAGTAATGAAAAGCATTTTAAGTTCAGACCAGCAGCTAGTATGCTGGAGGTTTAAATGCCACTCTTCAAAAGTTAAATAACTTAAGTTTATAATTCTGCATGATTTTTTAAATCATTTATTGTATGTCATATGAAATCAACTGAAAAATTCTATGCAATATTTAATTACTTTCCATAAAGCTTCTTGAAAAAGTTCTGCCATCTTTGTTTAAAGAAGAGGAAGTCATGACACATATTCTGGGAATGGAAACATATTCCCATGGGCTGCAAAATGTAAACTGATGAGACGTAAGTGATCCACTTGTCATGAGCTGGAGAGGCCTATTTTAGCATGTTAGGCTAGTCCTGGCTCATGCTTGTCAGATTAAGATATTTAAACTTCATAAAATGTAAGGTAATCACCTGTAGCAAGGATGGAACTGGCACTAATGCCCACATGCCGAATTCTATATTATTAAAAAATAAACTTCTGATCTCTGTAGAGGGTTACAGAAAGAGATGAATCTATGGACTAGAACATCATACAGTTCTGATTTTCCTAATGATGTATGACTGTAAAATCACTCCATTTACAGCATGTAAATTGATACAATAAGAAGTACAAATATTTAGGCCCATAAAGGAACATCAGTAATAGTAATAATAATGGCTTCATATCCATTGATAATGGTACATATGAAGTGGGTTTTGCAGAGTTTATGAAAATTTTCGTGAAAAATTGAAAGTCACAAGAAGCAGTCCTGCCACACACTCACTGTTCTATATAAAGAGCCTGTGAGTAGAATAGAATAGAACTGGACAAGATCTAAAGACACATTGTTCACAGTTCCAAATTTTGCCTTCTGATGCCTGAGTATGGCAAAGTTCAAACTGTAGATGGCACTTCACTCAGAAACAATGGAAGGCTAGTTCAGCACATTTTAGTTATATTTCCTTCCAATAAAAAATAAATAAATTAATAAGAATATGCATTGTGATAGTAAAATGCTTTCCACAAAGACATTTAAAGTGATGTGTGATGGTCTTTTGTTAAAATAAGATGGACAGAATTTAGTACATGGTTTGTGAAAGGAAAATGAAATGTATTGTTGAAACGTTTGTGCTAATTAATATAATATAAAAAATTTCCAACATGGCTGAAATTTAATAGAAAATGTTGGAATTGAAAGTAGTGATTGTTACCAGACTTTCATGAATTAGGATCAGACATACTTCATTTTTATTGTGAAGTGAAGTCATTTTTCACATCCTAATTTTGTGCAGACCTAATATAGACTGTGGTATAAATTCAAGAATAATCCAACATTTTCCATTGAATACGTAGCTTCATTTATTATCCTCTCCAAATATTCTTGTTGCAACAACAGCGCGTTGACTGTAATATTATTCAATTTACAACGAATATATTACAGTGTTCCGTATATAATGCCTCCTATTTTTATTAAAGAAAACTACAACAGATACAGAAAGCATAATAATGCAGTTAAATAGAGCAAGTTTTCAGCTACTTACAGTTATTTTTCCACATAATCACCACCATTCGTTATGCACTTTTGCCAGTGATTAACAAGAGCCTGTATGCCGCGCCCGTAAAAGTCTGCGCCAGCAGAGGCTAGCCACTTTCTTACAGCTGCAATGACAGCATCAATGTCTGGAAAGTGTTGCCCACATAGTCCATCTTTCTTAGGCCCAAAGAGATGGAAGTCTGAAGGTGCTAAACCGGGGTTATAAGGTGGATGTGGTAGGACAGTCCAGCCAAACTTTGCAATGTGCACAGTGGTCGCCAAACTTGTATGGGGTCTAGCGTTATCGTGTTGCAAGCAAAAGGTTGCCTGCTTCTTTGGCCTGACTCGGGAAATGCGGGCTTTCAGCTTAGTCAGCGTCGTTTTGTAGCATTCAGAACTGACAGTCCCTGATCATTATCTGCTGATCTGTATGGATGAGATGCTGTTCATTGTGAGGAGTGGCAGCTGAGCAGGGACGCCCAGGGCATGGCTTGTCGTGCACTTCAATTTCGCCACTGTTGAAACGCACTACCCACCGCCTCACTGTGCTGACTTCCACTGTATTGTCTCCGTACACCTTTAGCAAGTGTCGATGGATGTCAGTGGGTACAATTTGTTCAGCAGTGAGAAATTCAATAACACATCTGTGTTTCATACGCACTTCTATGTCAGACACCATTTTGGTAGACTGCTCTGCTGTCGCTATCTGTCACACGACAACCAAACTAACAGTAGATTGACGGGAAGGTTCAACCTTTACTACAACACCACCAACATCCATCTCAGACGTTACATATTAACACAAAAAAATAGGAGGCATTATTTACGGAATGGCCCTAGTAGCTTAATGCTGCTATATGGAATATATATATCATATTTTTAGACTCATAACCAAATGAATTATGATTGACTACTAACCAGATATTTAAAACTTCAAAAGTAAGTATGGTAGCAGAAATTAAATATTCAAATATCATCAGTGTTCAAAAGTTCAGAATTTTTCTTTGAGAACTTCCACAGAAATGTGATTCCCAGCAATGTTTGTGAAATCAGCGTGCAATGCTATGTTTTATTGAAGAATTTTGTCTTCTGGGATGTGGCGCTGTGTAGATCTTGTGTGAACCGACGTTTCGGGGGAATGTATCGCCTTCATCTTCTGGGTAGAAAAATCCATGATCAAGGAACCAGTGTGAGCAGCTCAGCAGCCACCTGCTCACACTGATTCCTTGTTTGTGGATTTTTCTACCCTGAAGATGGAGGAGATACATTCCCTGAAATGTCGGTTCACAGAAGATCTACATGGCACCACATCCAAGAAGATGGAATTCTTCATAGTCACTGCCATGGAAGCCTCAAATCTTACCTATGTTTTATTATCTTGAGATGCTTGCATGATTAAAGTGAACACTATACACTGCCTGGAAGCAGACCATTTTTATGGTATCAGAACTACATTAAAAATGACTTTGAAAATACAAAATATTTAATTACTTCATAATGAGTAAAAATATTTCTGTACAGGAGTAGTCAGATGGCATGATGGTTGTGTTGAATTTATTTATGTTCTATAAATCCTGAGCAGGTTAATAATACAGAACAAGTCATAAATTACATACAGTAGAACTTGGTTATAACATCATCAAAGGGACCTAAAAATAGTGTCGTTATAAACGAATGTCGTTGTAACCGAAATGGGCACTTCCACAGTAGCCTTATGTTAGTCACGTAAAAAACTACCAAAAACCGAATTAAAATGTTGCATTTTTTAGTGAAATACATAGTTAAGTACAGACTAACGTAACATTAACGTGGAATTGCCCAAATGTGTAATATCAAAGACATATTACAGCGCTTTTCACTGACAATACACACCGCACTAATACTGTATATTAAAGGTAGGCCTACTCACCAAATTACAGTAGATTACATCAATTGTTGTGCCTTACTGTACCTAGATACGAGTACAGTAATCAGTTATCTTCATCTGTTTCCTGTTACTTGCCCAATACACACTTTCTAAATTACGTTCACAACCTGCCGCGTCCTCTTGCACTATTCACGCAGTCCCACCCCACACCCTTGTTTTCACATAAAACCCACGTTCCTCTTGCAGCCCACGGTCGTATTCTTCCAGGACAGTCACATCAGCAAGTAGAGAAAGTGAGGGTGGGCAGACACATTGAACTTTCCGCGATATCAGAGAAATTCAGGAATGAAAATGACGTTACATACAAGGTTGATGCATTTGTGCATGTCGTACTAAGCAAGGTATAAAAAACAGTTGCTTTATGAGGAATTAGTTCGTACCATTAAATATCTGACGCAATAGACAAGGTGTCGCAGAAACCGATGTTGCTATAACCAAGTTTTACTGTACATTAGTACAGACAATTTTAGATTAAAAATTTATATGTACCGATTTTCCTGGGGAGTAAAGTGCAGCCGGCACGTAAGGCTGACAACCTTACCGCCCTCTTTGAGCCGATTGTCTAGATAACGTGGGACCCTCAACGTCTCACAACCCTATGGGCCTTCAGGGCCTGTTACAGGGATAGCTTTACTTTTTTTTGCTTTTACTATGTACGTAAGAACAAATGAAGGATCTAAGCAAATATTTTAACCTCTGCACTCTTCATACACAAAAATTAATTCTTGCTTAGAAAAATGAATACCACTTTTACTCAGACTTGCAACTTCTTCCTGTCCTGTGATCATTTGAAAATATTAAATTCCCTATTTTAACATCACATAAAGACTTCGTAAACACAGCTTTAAATTCAAAATCATAACATACTTCAGTTGAGAATGTTGTTATCTTATGTTTATATCCAGGTGCTGTGGAGATGGTCTGGATATATCTATCTTTAAAAACCCATTGTATCCTCTCGCTGCCAAGGAAATTGTTAGACTGGTAAATGGGCTCTTACTTCAGAAATAAGGTGAAATTGTCTCTGTGCTTTAATTAAGCACCATGGTTTGAAGATGTATGGGGAGTGGAGGTTTAGCTTCCTGCATTCTTAACTACAGTATGGTTGGAGGTGAGTAAGCTTCATATTCAGCCACTAGACCCCTGGAGGAAAAGTCTCTTCTACTTCTAAGATAGGGAGCTTGATAGGCCCCAGAGGCAGTCTGGTTGCTATGGAGAAGGGAAAGGATTTTTGCCTCTGCCAGAATCCAGTCACTGATAATCTACAACCATTCAGTCCATAGTCTAGTCCTTACACAGACTTAGCTACTCTGGCTAGGAATAAGGAAACACAAGAACTTGGAATCAGAAAATCATAGTTTAATAACACCAACACTTGTCATTATGACAATTAAGACATCTTGGCCATGCTACAGCTCAGGAAGCTAGTCACTGGCTTCCCACCATGCTGATCCAGATTTGATCCGAGGCCAGGGGATTCGTGGTGGACCAAGTGATATTGGGGCAAGCTTTCTATAAGTATTTTGATTTCCCCATGCTATTTTTAATGTCACTAACTGCTCCATACTCATTAATCACCCCATCATGAATACTGTATAATCTCAGTACTGATACTAATACTAATACAGAGTGGGGCGCAGAAAATTCCTTTTTGTGAAGACACATTGTGAAGAGAGGAGAGGTGATAGAAAAGTGGGGACAGGCTTGGCAAACACAGCAGTCACGGAAGTTTCTGTCTAATACCCCTCAGTAGGAAACATGAGGTGGATGAGTGAGCAGTGTGTGTTTGCTGTCGAAGCCTATTTTTCGAACAACCATTCCTACGTGATGGTGCAGTGTGTGCTCCGTACTCACTTCGGAATTAAACCCAGAGGTCCGGTTCCCAACCGGAAATTGATTGTTTTGTGGGTAGAGAACTTCAGGACCACCAGGAGTGTGGTGAAAAAATCATCAGGACGACAATGGACCATTACGATGCCAGAAAATGTGGAGGCAGTTTTTGTGATTCCAAGACACTCCGCTTGCAAACATGCAGTCGCCCTAGACATATCCAATCGTTCAATGCGCTGAATTCTTCATGAACATCTTCATTGCCATCCCTATAAGATGGTTGTTGTGCAAGAAATGTCACCACGTGATTTCCAGAACTGAATAACAGCGTGCGAAACGTTATTGGAAACTTTACCCCCTGACACACTTGTTTTCTTTAGTGAAGAGGCACATTTTCACCTATCCAGATATGTCAACAACCAGAATATGCACTATTGGAGTGGTAACAATACCAGAGAGCTCCATGAGAGGCCACTTCACAGTGATAAGGTGACAGTATGGTGTGCATTGTCAAGAGTTGGAGTTATTGGCCCTTATTTTTTTTAAGAATACAATCATGCAGTTACTCTCAATTCACAGCAGTATGTGGACATGACTAAAAACTTTTTCGAACCAGCTCTTGAAGAAATGCATCTAGGAAATGTCTGGTTCCAACAGGATGGTGCCACAGCCCACACAGCCCGAGCTTCGATGACAGTTTTGAGGGCAAAATTCCCCGGACGGCTCATCTCGCTTCGAGGTGACATCCCATGGGCAGCGCACTCACCTGATCTAATGCCCTGTGATTTTTTTTATGGGGTACCTCAAGGCAGAGGTTTTTAAATATCGCCCCACAAACCTGCTTCAGCTGAAGAATCTTATTTGGCATGAAGTAGCCCAAATTCCGGTGCACATGTTGGAATGTGCAGAGGGGAACTTCAGAAAACGGTTGCATCAGTGCATAGAGAACAGTGGCCACCACCTTCAAGATATTTTGTTTAAAACTGCATGATTTAAAACTTTAACGTATGTTCTTTCATTAGCTAAACATAAATTTTGTCTATCAGCAGTAATTTTTCTTTTATTTGCCTCAAAAAAGGAAGTTTCTGTGCCCCACTCTGTACATCATTAAATAACCAACTTAAAAAATCATCTATTTTTGACTTCATAATCATAGTCACCTGTCTGAATTCTCTTTGCAACAGAATAATAATATTAATGTTTCAATTTTGTAAACTGAACTGGACTTGCACATATACAGGAAGCAAATTTTTTACCGTTACATCATTCAGCCATATGTATATTTCACTGTGAGCTTACTAATCTCTCTGTCTAAGTCACTGTCATCAAAATCACCCTTCATTCTTAACAGGTACCCATATATTATGATGATTAGTATTTTATAGATATTATAAATCTCTTCCTTTCAAATATTACTTTCCAAACTTGTGAAAATGAAACATATTTGCAATAAATAAACATTAGCTCAAGACTGCTTTAATAAATTGTCACAAAACTAGAAACCTCTAAAATATCCATACACAAAATAAAATACTTCTCAAATAATTTACAATCACAGGACCTACAGTCTCTCAGAACTCCTCCACAAGAAATTAATACATTGCATCACAATTATGTGCAGGTTAAAATTTTATCAAGAGGTATTTTCATCTCAAAGTTTATTGAAGAGTTACGTGGTGGAGTCCAATTCAACTCAGTTGAATTCAGCTGAATTTTATTCAAACTCTTTAGTAAAACAAGGATGGACATGAATATACATGCCATGTTTTTACATCATATTTAACTGTAATCACCTCAATCTGATGTTTAAAATTGTACTACAAAAGGTAGTATTCACATATTTTACATACCATAACTCTGAGACATGATTTTCTAAGTAAAATAGGAAGAATTTCCTGATCAGTGGAAAGAGTCTATTATTGTACCAGTCCACAAGAAGGGCAATAAAACTGACTGTAGTAATTATCATGGGATATCACTGTTATCAAATTCATGTATGTTATGTCTATATATAGATGAAATTACTTGTAATACGTAGGAACTATGCTACAATCAACACAACAAATATTTCAGTATTACAATTAGATCTTTATTTACTGAGACATATTTTGGTCATGCATGACCATCAACAGGCAGTAAATAAAGATCTAATTGTAATACTGAAATATTTGTTGTGTTGACGGCAGCATAGTTCCTACATGTTATATATTGTCTGAGACACACAACAGGATGCAACCAATGAAAATTAAATTATTTGTGACCATCAGTGTGGGTTTCAACATAACAGTTATACTATTGATGAGGTTTTTTGCATTTGCCACATACTTGAGAAAAAATGGGAGTACAATGAGACAGTACATCAGATATTCATAGACTTAAAGAAAGACTATGATTCAGGTAGGAGGGAAGTATTGCAGTACCCATGAAACTAGTTAGGCTGATTAAGATGTGTTTAAATAAAATGTATAGTAAAGTCAGTACAGGTAAACATTTGTCTGATAATTTTCCTATCCAGAATGGTCTAAAATAAGGAGATGCTTTATTGCCATTGCTTTTCAATTTTGCTTTAGAATATGACATTTGGAAGGCCCAGGTAAACCAGATGGGACTGAAATTAAATGGACACATCAGCTGCTGGTCTACGCTGATGTTGTGAATCTACTGGGTGATAACATAGATACCATAAAGAAAAACACATGAACTTTAATTGACACTAGTAAGGAGGTTCCTCTAGAAGTAAATGCAGAGAAATTTAAGTATATGTTGTTGTTTCTTCATCAGCATTCAGGGTAAAATAATGACATAAAGATGGCTAACAGATTCTTTGAAAAAGTGGCAGAGTTCAAATATTTGAGAATGACAGAAACAGATCAAAATTTGTAGTTTTGAGGTTTTCACGGCGATGACTATGAAGAAAGTCGTCTTCTGGGTTTAGGCACCGTGTATTGTTCGTTTTGGCCGACGTTTCGGAGGATCGTATTGCTTCCATCTTCAGAGCAGTTGAATGGCTTGGAATGCAGAGAGCAGTAGCTGTAGTGATAGGAAGTGAAAGGCGCTGCTATATACGAAGTAGGCAAGGGGGGTGGTTAGGGAGAACGGACCAATAGTAGCAGTGGAGAGCGTTTAAGGCCATATATATGGTGTTATGTGGGGGGGGGGGGCCAGTGAATCCAGGAAACTTGAGGTCAATAGCACTAGGAAGTGCGGTAGACAAGAAGAACCGGTTGGTTGTGGACAGGCTACTGACCTCAATGACATGATTACAGGGGACAGGCTACTGACGTCAGTGACATGAAGAACTGGTGTGG